TCACTCACACTGACTCACTCACTCTTAATGAGCAGACCACAAGAGACTCTGACGTGATTCAGTTATAATGGAATAGAAATAGTACAAATAATTATCAATGACTTCTTCCGTGTCCGATATCTTGTTATTCATGAACAGGATACAGAACAGAACGACCGACTCCGTGGTGCGGAAGGTTGCGGATTCGATCCCCGACCGCGTCATACCAAAAGACGTTAAAATATGGTACTTGTTGGTCCCTTTCTGGCGCTCGGCATTAATGGGTACAACAAGGACTGGTCGGCTCGAAGTCAGTATTATGTGTCTGAGTGGGGTATTCTTGCTTCACTGCGGCATGGTATCTCAGTGGGCTAGCACTATAAAACCAGCTTCAGTCTAGGCTACAGTCCGTTTGAGTCAGAAACGGACCAATGAATTGCAAATTTTATCATTGTACAAAATTGCCACATAAATATAAATAGTACACATGTTTATCATTTACTAATACCCAACAGCATTCTGATATTTGAAAATTTTCCGAACTCACCAAAAAGTTGTTAAAGAAACTATCATCACTGAATACGCAAAAGTTGTTATCTGTCGCGGCGGGTGAAACCGCAGAAACGGAACAGCCAGTCATGGCGGGGACATCTCAAAATTTATTGCGGGAGACCTGTCGGTTCCTCGTCTGTCGTAGTGTCAGTCACGACTTAAAGGGATGACAAGTGGTGCCACAGTTGCCTGTTGTAAGCCATCCCGAGACCAGTAACCTTGTTCAATGACGTTAGCTACCTTGTTGACACAGTTTTGCCAAGTTTCAGTCGTGATTTTGTTAAGGGATTCCTTAACCCAAAACATCTACGTCACGTAATCGAAAAGTTGTGTTTGATCTGGCAACATCTCCTTCGACAATACCCCATATCATTTCAGTGGGGTTAAGGTCACAGTGATAGGGTGGAAGTCGCAGAATATCGTGCCCTTACTTTTTATGCAACTGTCAACTTTGTAGAAAGATTCACCTTTATGATCTCATATAGCTGAGGCTTCGTTGCCTTTGAAGGGCGCGCGATCTGAAATTTGTCGAGCCATGATATCATATCACCTTTTCGACTGTTCGATGTCGGGGATTTACTGTCGGGGTCCTTCACGCTGTGGTATGGGCCATTGTCCATTATGATAAAAGACTTCTCTGGTAGAGCTGGTACCAACTTGTTTTAACCCAATCGAGGAAAACCGCACCATTCATCTCAGGAATGGTAGTCTCTGATTATCTGTGGACTTTGCCCTGAATACCAAGCTGCAGCCTGGGAGAAAGCCTTTGCTGGAGCAACCAGCATGGAGAATGATTAGTCTCTCTCCTTTCCCTAGAGGCAGCTTTCTACGTGACCCCTTATCACCCCATCGGGTACCCACTGACTGCTGGCAGTGTGCGAGTCATTGCCCCAGATCTCGTCCAAGTACACTGGCTCGAACCCTTCCTCGCGCTTCTTCTTTATAACCCTGAGAAAATTATTTCTCAAGCGAACGATATCAGGGCGTTCACAGAGTACTGACCTATTCTCCCCCGAAATTTTCTTATAACGATACCCGAAAGAGTTTAAGAGTCGCGAGAGTGTGTACTTTGATACTCTGAGGTTGTGTTCTTGCTTCAAATGCTTGTTTAAAATTTTCAGCGACATGTAGTGGTTTTCAGAATAGAACTTGTTGATAGACTGCTTTACAAGGATCTTTTGAAAGCTGTCCAAATGTTTTAATTTGTGTGATTTTGACACGACCCCTACCTGCTTCGCATCACCCTCACAATGTTTGTGTTCCAGAACATTTGTCAGTACCCTTGCTGATACTCCTAAAGCTTTTGCTGCCCGCTTACGGAATTTATTAATGGCATAAAATGGTTTGCCCCTTTCGGCTTCAGCACGGAAAAAATCGTACACTTTAATCATCAACTGTTTCACGTCAGCATTCAACTTCATTTTTCATCAGGCATGTGTATCCCGTGCACGACGAGATAGTGGCTGTTCCGTTTCTGCGGTTTCACCCAACCGCGACAGATAACAACTTTTGCGTTTTCAATGATGATAGTTTCTTAAACAACTTTTTAGGTGAGTCCGGAAAATTTTCAAATATCAGAATGCTGTTGGGTATTAGTAAATGATAAACATGTGTACTATTTATATTTATGTGGCAATTTTGTACAATGATAAAATTTGCAATTCATCAGTCCGTTTCTGACTCAAACGGACTGTAGTACAAGCAGCCGCACATACACATACACACGCATGTCGTCATATGAGCGAAATATTCTCAAGCACGACGTTAAACCCAATTCCACCACCACCACCACAGAACAGAAAAAACTTTTATTACGCCAACTACTGTCAGAGATCACAATAGTGATAGGGATGTATTTCTAGTTGTTTTACAAGGTACTAACTACCATAACAAATATCACTCCAATGTCTATTTGAAAGGTATGGGATATGATACAGAAAATCAAAGGCAAAGGGTCTAAGTGTAGTGTCCAGCATCTTTAGGACGATGACAATCTTATAACAGACAAAGGTCAAATTGCGAATAAATTAGGCGAAACTTTAGCGAGACATTCTTCATCATCCAACTACACACTAAATTTTCAGAAATTTAAAGAACGGGAAGGAAAAAAAGAATATTAATTTTAATTCAGATAATGGTGAAGAATAAGGTATTTTTAATGATGGTTCAAACACATATCTTCATCCTGCAACTGGCTCATACTCTTCTCTGGACTTATCTGTAGTTGATTCCAATGTATATTATGAGTTTGAATGGTCAGTCCATGACGACCTTTCTTGGAGTGACCATTTCCCCACTCTTCTCTCAGCCAGAAACCCCACTGATGGTCCACCATTAGCACGGTGGAACTTTACAAAGGCCGACTGGTCTTTATTTCATGCCTTATGTTGTGAAAGATTAAAACCTGAATTATTTATGAATGAACTTAATCCTATTCAAGTATTTTCTGATGAATTAAACATAATTGCTGATGAGTGTATTCCAAAGTCCTCTGTGGTACCGGATATACGTAAACCATGGTTTAACGTTGATTGCAAACAAGCTAGAAAAGCAAGGAAGAAGGCGGGAAAATATTTCCGCCGCCATCCAACAGTTCACAACCTAAATCAGTTTAAAATTTTGAATGCTAAGGCTTGCCGTACGTTTAAACAAAATAAACGACAGTCCGTAAATCATTGACTGATAAGAAATCTTCAAGTATCTTTCCTTTTGTATTGGTGTTGTTACTACCCCAAAGTGGGTTATGACCATTGAAATCCCCCATGATAACGCAAGGTTTGGGGAGTTGGTCATAGAGCGCCAGAAGATCAGACTGCCGTATAGAGGATGATGGCGGGATATAAATTGAACATAAATTAAAAACGATGTGTAGTGTTAATCGGACAGCAACAGCCTGCAGGGGGGTATGAAGCGAAATAGGACTGTGAATTGTGCCCTGACTCACCAGAATAGATGATCCTCCAGTAGCTTTATCACCTGGGGGAGAAAAACAGTGATAGGAATCGATCTTCTCAAATCGAATTTATCTGTGGATTTCAGCTATATTTCTTGTAAACATAGTGCTGATGATTTTAAATCTTGAATCAAAAGCTGTAAATCGTCGAAATTGTTTCTGAGTCCTCTGCAGTTCCACTGTACTATGTGCGAAGACATTATCTTTTCGGGGGATTAACTGGGGATCTACCCCGCCCTTTGTTTGAGGGCGACAAGCTATGTGTCCTCTGATTATTGTTGTCAGACACATCTACTGTATGTCTTCAAGGGATCCGTATTTATTATACAACTGGATCTTGTTATTGGATCTTTTTGACACCCTGCCACTTGGAGGTTTTTTGGACAATTCTGTCCTTGGTTTGCTTTTGCCTGTTGACAATTGTTGTACATTTATTTCTGCGTGTGTGTTTTGAGATGATGGCTGATCTTCCGAAATGATTGTTTGTGAAGAAGTAGTTGCAACAGTTGTTGAATTAGGAGACAGCTGAATCATCTCCTGACAGTCTGTGTTTGTCCATGTGTAATCTGTTTGACATGCAACAGCTACACATGAAACAGGAACACGTTGTGGGATAGGCTGTGAAACACTTCTGGAAACAGTATCAGAGTAGGAATTACGAGTAGATTGTTCTTCATTTAGAACAATCTTCTTAGCATCCTGAAGTGAAATGTTCCTTTCGTTTTAATTTAACGACTCTACTCTCACGCTCCAGGAAGGACAATCTTTCGATGAAGAGGCATGTTTACCGCCACAGTTCACACAATATGGATCTTTAACACAGACAGCACTCTCAGGACATTCACCACCACAGCGATAACAAGCAGCTTGCTTGTCACATGTCCTTGAGCCGTGGCCATATTGCTGACATTTGTAACATCTCAGTGGATTTGGGATGTACATATCCACTTTGATTTACAATATCCTGCTTTTATAGAATCTGGAATTTTTGGAAGACCAAACGTAAACAGGTACATATTGGTCTTAATGACCTCACCATTTCTTTTTGAAGTAAAACGTCTGACTGATATTACATTTTGGCTTTTTAATTCCTCGAGAATGTCGTCCTCAGTCATATCACTCAGGAAACGACCTCTATCCCGAACTAACCCCTTACAACTGTTGAGGGATCGATGCGGCGAGACCACAACTGGAACGTTTGCTAGAGTTTTAATGGACAGAAGACTAACCGCTTGTCTGTGGCGCTTGCATTTTATTAACAAACAGCCACTGCGTAATCTTTTCGCATCTTCAACATCTCCAGCTATGCCTTGAATTGCCTTTTCCACCGCAAATGGATTCAGCTTCAAAGGAGTGCCATCTGAAGCAGAGACGACCAAGACAAGGGGCCAGTTTTCGAATGTAACAGGAGTTGTCCTCGGACTATCATTCTCATTATCAAAGTGATCTTGAGATTCATGAGTACGTTTTTTTCATTGGGGGGTTCCATGTTGGTAGTGATTATGTTTCACCCTCCTTACTTGCAACGCCATCTGTCCTGGATTTGCCAACGCGCCAAGTAAGTAATAATGATGATGAAGATGATGATGATGTAATGTATTTCTGATCCAGTGCCTTAAACCAGATATAGGCATTTCTGGTGTCCCCCGCCGTGATATTGCTGGAATATTGCTAAAAGCGGCGTAAAACTTAACTCACTCACTCACCAGATATAGGATTATTACTCCATGCCATTTGGGGGATTTAATATGGATCTGTATTAGGGGTGAGTATTGCAGAGAATTTTCATATTGCGATCTATTGCGATGCGAAATAATATATTGCGATATGTATTGCAATATATTGCATGAAGTTTCTTTTAACAAAAAATGACTCATAATCGAGTTAATGCTTTATTATAAAGCAAAAACACAACAAATTCACAATGCTTGATTAAGCTTTAATAACAACTTTTAATCATGACAAAATAAAAACCGTGAACATTTTCAACCCAAAATGCTGCCATGCTTACACCTTTGTCCTAGTATTTGTTCGTTGTTGGGTGTCACCATTTTACAACAATCGTATGACTTCCGGTGTGAAAAACGGAAATATCAGAAGATTTCGGAGTGTTACTAAGATTTCCTAATGCATGTCAAAAATCGGTTTTCATCGCAATACGTATCGTTTTCATGACTGAACCGGTAAATACCGGTAAACCGGTTATATTGCACAGCCTTAATCTGTGTTATTATTGTATCAAGGAGTGAAATATTTTTCGTTGGACGTGCATGGTATACGTCTGTCAGGAGCTGTAGGCGGTGAGGTAGTCCAGTGGTTGAAGCGTTCGCTCGTCACGCCGAACACCCGAATACATGAATACATGTACCATCAACCCGACATTCACCGCAAACAGGGCGCACTAGGGCCTACTAATTAAAGCGTTCGTTCGTCACGCCGGGTTCGATTCCCTACATGGGTACGATGTGTTGAGCCCATTTCTGATGTCCTCTGCCGTGATACTGCTTGAATATTGCTAACTCGCTCACTCAGTCATCAGCTGGAGCTACAGAATAGCACTATAGTCGAGAATTAAGTCAGGGCTGGTTTGTTGCTTAACGCCGCACTCACCAATATCCCAGCTATATAGCTATGGTCTGTAAATAATTGAGTCTGGACCAGACAATCCAGTGGTCAATGGCATGAACATCGATCTACGCAATTGGGATACAATGACATGTGTGAGTCAGCATGGGTTACTGAAGACCAATTGTAACCCGGATGTTCACAGGTTCTGAGCATGGACGGTAGACGTCTTAATTCTGTTTAATGGTATAGCATTGATTAGATGCATGTTTGTTTTGTTTCAGTGAGCCACGGGCTGATAAGGGATTACGCTAACAAGAATAATCTCACGTTTGACGAAGCAATGGTATGTCTTAAAATGTCGCCAGCAAAGGAGCTTTGCTGACATTATTCTCTCTCCCTTTCTCTCTCCCCTCTATCTCTCTATCCCTCTCTCCCTTTCTCTCTCCCCTCCTTCTCTCTCTCGCCCTCTTTCTCTCCTTGGGGGCGGTGGGGTAGCCTAGTGGTCAAAGCGTTGGCTCGTCACGCCGAAGGCCCGGGTTCGATTCCCACATGGGCACAATGTGTTAAGCCCATTTCTGGTGTCCCCGCCGTGATATTGCTGGAATATTGCTAAAAAAGCGGCGTAAAACTAAACTCAGTCAGTCAGTCTTTCTCTCCTTCTCCTCTCTCTCCTCTCTCTCTCTCTCCTATATCTCTCCCACCCTCTCTCTCTCCTCTCTCTCACCCCCTCTCTCTCTCTCCCACCCTCTCTCTACCCACACTCCCTCCTCCTCTCTCTCCTCTCCTCCCCTCTCTCCCTCTCTTCTCTCTCCTTCTCCTCTCCCTATATCTCTCCCTATATCTCTTTCCCCACTCTCTCCTCCCTCCTCTCTCTCTCCCCTCTCTCCTCCCTCCTCTCTCCCCCTCTCCCTCTTTCTCTCCTCCTCCTCCCCTATATCTCTCTCCCCTCTCTCTCTCTCTCCCTCTCTGTCCCCTCTCCCATCTTTCTCTCCCCACCTTCTCTCCCCTCTCTCTAGGTATTTCCTATATATTATAACAACTAAGATTGTAAACAGATCTACGTTACCATTTCAGCAAGTTTTTGTAGAGAAGAACAACCCAACCAAGAAACCGGTGGAAATTAATGAGGTACGTCTGTTTTCTGATCGTATCTCCACACGGTGTATTATGTTACTGGCCTCGACTACGTCTGTGTCTGGCTTGTCTATTTTCACGATCTTAACCTTCGCTCGTCCACCCAAGAACCGGGTTCGATTCCCACATGGGCACAACGTGTGAAGCCCATTTCTGGTGTCCCCCGCCGTAATATTGCTGGAATATTGCTAAAAGCAGCGTAAAACTAAAACTCACTATTTCAAGTTGTGATAATGATATAACAACAGTCAATGGGAGACAACTTAACTAGGCTTTATTTGTATCACCTTACAACTTCAGTGTAAGGGAGATAATTCCATACACCTGTTTTCACAAATTATTTAAAGGTTTCATGTATTTTGTTTGTACAATGACACTAACAATGACATTAATATGACATTGAGTGACATCTTTTCAGTTTCAGCTTGTTAAGTCGTCACTGTGGTTTGGACGCGATGACGCGCTATCAGGCGAGTCACAAGCCACGACCCCCTGATTCAGTAGTGGCACCACTTATACCAAGCAATATAGGGTGCTGGGGATCGAACCCGGACCCCACTGGACACAGTGGTTTTATTGAATGTCTAGGCCTGCACTGGAATTATGTGAGTGAGTGTGGGTTTTATCCCGCTTACAGCAATATTCATGCAATATCACGGCGGGGACGCCAGACATAGGCTTCACACATTGTACCCAAGTGGGGAATCGAACCTGGCTCTTCGGCGTGACAAGCCAACGCTTTAACCACAAGGCTACCCCACCACCCACATTGGATATGAGAACCACTTAGTTGAGTTTTTGCCGCTTGAAGCTGTAGTTTTGAGTTGATAGATCGCCGGGTTTCTTTCAGATATGTGGTCTAGTGGAGTTCCTCTGCTCTTCTCCAGCTTGCAACATGACCGGTGCACCCATCCTCGTTGATGCAGGGTTTACGTCACAGTGACAACGATGACGCGAACCCTTGCCAGCGAGGAATATTTTCAGTTGTAATAAACGCTGTAATAACAGAACTAGTGTTGTATGGTTGGCTCTAGAGCCACATACAACAGGCAGGAAACTAACACATATAGTGAGTGAGTGAGTGAGTGAGAGTTAGCGAGAGTGAGTGAGTGGAATTCTGCAATAACAGTACTAAAGTACTGTCGGAAATAGCAAAAACGGGCAAAACTTAGAAAAAATACGAACAGCTGCTGAAAACAATAGATCAGATTATAGATGGCAATTAGGTCGCTCAGCCAGGTATGATGGCGGACCGTCAACTCACTTGGCATGAAATGCACGTGCTGCCCACAGACACAAGGGGTCATCTCAAATATCTTTTATGCTTTTTCATGTGTCTTGAACATGTCTCGACTGATTTTCTAATATCTAATTAGCTAATATCTCTATCCCCAAGCCCGAACCCAACTACCGTCAACAACACCCGTCTTGGTTTTGCTTTTGAGACGACCCCTCCTACCTGTTTCTTTTTGTTGTGATAGTGAGACTCAATGGTATCTATATCCTTAATAGTTTCTGTATTAAAGTTGATATTTTTACGTCTGCAATGGTTTATTATGAAGCTAAGTCTAATTTCCAAATGGACATTCAAAAGTGTCATTTGTTATACAATATCATCACACACTAATTTGCATGAAGCCATGGTCTGCTCCAAAACATTTGGCAGCTATTTCGAACGCTGATCAGGGTAAGGCACAAACTGACAAGTCGTCGTAGACACAGTTTGGTGAAAGTCGAAGGCACAAGATAAAATGTTGCTCGTGGACATAATCCTCACCCGCCCCTCAAACTTGTACACTTACCACTTGGGGAGTGAGGTGAGTTTAGTTTTACCAATACTCAAGCAATATTACGGCTGGGGACACGAAAATTGGCTTTGCACATTGTACCCATGCTGCATTTATAGACTTCCGTAAGGCTTCCGACTGCATTGATAGACGAATTATGTGGAGCAAGCTACTAGATAATGATATTAAAGGAAAGATGTTTGACGCTATCATCTCTCTGTACAAGAATGTCCAGTGCTGCGTACGTCTAAATGAAAGACATACCCCATGGTTCAACGTCGGCTGTGGACTAAAACAAGGATATATGTTATCTCCCCTGATGTTTAATCTCTATATTAATGATCTCATAACTGCTGTGAATAGTCTGTCCATTCGTGTCTCCATCAACGACGACACTGTTGGTTTTTAGCCTACGCAGACGATGTCGTGCTTCTTGCCGAAAATGAAAATGATTTACAACTTTTACTGGACTGCCTTAATTTATGGTGTGTCAAATGAATTCCATGTGTGTGAATATTAATAAGTCTACGGTTATTCACTTCAGGACTGCCAGTGTATAATAGACCAGTGTTTCAAGACTTTATATGCGCCATAGAAATATGAATCAAGACAGAATTACCTACAACATATTTAAGTGGTGGTACCAGTGGTCTACGAGAAGAAAAACAAATTGGGCTTTCAGAATACATAAAAAATCAGCGAACTACATATGGGTCACATTATCAACATTGAACATCGTTATGGAAAACAATATGTTGTGAACAGTATTATATACCACCAAGATGTTTGAGACTTTCAAGGTTGACTGGGAAAGAAACGTCTCAATATCGGATAGCAGTAATGGAAAGGGCGGAAATCAGTTGAGAACGTACAGAACCTTTAAGAACGCATTAACTGTAGAGCCTTATGTCACAGCAGAGCTACCCAGAAGCCACAGATCGTCATTAGCCAAGTTTAGAAGCGGAGTTGCGCCCATAAATATAGAGACCGAAACGCTACACCAACACCCCGTACAGTGAGAGATTATGTCCTCTATGCAACAATGAAGTTGAAGATGAAAAACATGTTTTGTTAAGATATACAGTGTATGAAGAGTGAGTGAGTGAGTTCAGTTTTACGCCGCACTCCGCAGTATTCCAGCTATATGGCGGCGGTCTGTAAATAATCGAGTCTGACCAGACAATCCAGTGATCAACAGCATTAGCATCGATCTACGCAATTGGGAACCGATGATATGTGTCAACCAAGTCAGCGAGCCTGACCACCCGATCCCGTTAGTCGCCTTTTACGACAAGCATAATCGCATGGGTTGCTGAAGACCTATTCTACCCCTGATCTTCACGGGTCGTATGAAGAGGAAAGACGTAATCTACTGTCATGTTGTTCTGTGATAAATGAAGATTTTAATAACTTAGATGATATTCAGAAAGTTGGTTTTATGCTCTCATCACCTAATGTTATAGCCCAGAGTGCCAAAACGTGTAATAATATTCTTCGTAAGCGTCATAAGATTTTATTTTATTGATTTCTTTTAAAACTTTTAGGTAATTTTTTATCAAAGGATATTTTATAGAGTGACTGTAGCTCTTAACATTTGAATGTTTTATAGATGTTATAATTTTAAAGTCTCTCGTAACTCTGTGCAGGGTGGCTCGTTACTTTTACGCTTATATTGTCTTAGGTTATGTATAGTTTTTATCATGTATATATTATGTTTGTACGTTTTGATCAAACTGACTGTAACGAGGTGAGACTATACTAAACAATCTGTCTGTCTGTCTGCTAAAGTGGAACACTTTTTATGGATAGACAACTTCTTTGTTGCAGTAGTAGTTGCGACGTTTCGGTGTAGATCCTAACACCGTTATCAAGCAAATGATACACAACATTTGCACAATGAAAAATATATACATGGCGGGTATTGGTTTATACAATAGAAGAGGTTGATGTACGGTGTGTTGACATGAGAGTTGTTGTGCCAGTAGACAAAGGGTGGGTTATTCTTGATTAGGCTTGATTAGTTGATTTGACAAATTGGAAATCCTAACAACCAAGAATCAGGACTTCAAGAAAACTCTTGGAAGACATCGAAATCCGCCGCCACAAACCTTTGTTCAACAGAGACCAAGGATACTACATACCATCGACCTATGAAGAACTAATCAAACTATAGACTCTATAAACATCCAATCAGCTTGTTATTACAACTTAATCCCCCTTGTTTATTGGCTTCGTTCCCAGCTTCATATATTGTTCTTAGTCTCCTACTGGCCTCTCATAATTATGTACCAGTTGTTATTCAATTACGTGTTGTTGTTAATGTTAATTCGCTGTTGTCAAAACATACTGAGTATATATACCCCTCATCATCTGGTTGTATTTACTTTTAGCTTGATAACGATGTAAGGATCTACATCGAAACGTCGCTCTTTGCAATAAATAAGAAGTTGTCATCCAAGTTGCATGTTTCTTTCATCCAACAAACAAACACGCAAAGAGGCAAACAAACCCGTGCTGTCAACTCGTGCTGTCAACCCGTGCTGTCAACACGTTGATTAGTACGTCTGCTGTTAAACAAACCCGTACGCTGTCTTGTTAAACGTGCTGTCAACACGTTGATTAGTATGTCTCTTGTTAAACAAACCCGTTCTGTCAACCCGTTGATTAGTACGTCTCTTGTTAAACAAACCCGTGCTGTCAACCCGTTGATTAGTGTGTCTCTTGTTAAACAAACCCGTGCTGTCAACCCGTTGATAAGTACATCTCTTGTTTCTGACCTTTTCTCCAGAATACGAGAACATGTGACAATGTTCCCGTAGTAAGGAAGCATTAAGAAGGTATAACGGAAATAAGGCCGACTTATGTAGCAGAAAACTTCATTCGAGCGAGAGAAATATACAACATCAACACCAGAGATTAATTTCAATTTCAGTACTTGACACCTCCTTTCACACAGTTTGCATAAAGAGTTTGTTTGTTTGCTTGTTGCATAGCGCTTAACAGCAGTTCTCTGCCATGTGACGGCGGTCTGTTATACAAGCAGGAGAATCAAGTCATGGATCTCACAAAACCTATCCAGGGACTGACTTTGATGAAAGAAAGGGCGATCAGACTGTATTGTCAAATAACATTGGTCTTCTATGTGGAATTACCCATTCTCGGGGAACGCTGCGCAATCCCAGGGAATGCAATGTGTGTTAAGAATATCATTTTCATTCCAAAGAACCTTTTACTGGGCTCAGCTAGGCAAGTTAACACAAGCAACACATGGGTACAATGTCATATTTCTGTGCATGTGCAGTTTAGACAGGTTACATATCGATAGTTATAGCAAGTTAGCGGGGACACTTCCTGGAGATTTTGACCAGAAGATCTCAAGCTCAAATTGGCATGCAAGAGAGTCTCAAAGAGTGAGTGAGTATGATTTTACGCCGCTTCTAGCAATACTCTAGCAATATCACGGCAGGGGACACCAGAAATGGGCTTCATACGATACATTGTGCCCATGTGAGAGATTCAAACCCGGGTCTTCGGCGTGACGAGCGGACGCTTTAACCACCAGGCTACCCCACCACCCTCGAGTCCCAAAGACGTCCGATGGGGTTCATATGGGGTTCCTTGAGTGCCATAGTAAAGTTTCGATTGCATTGTTCTTCACGGACAACTAAGATGGGGTGATTATCAATTTTGGAGTATTTTCTCGTCACTTCAAGTTATTTAAAAAACGACTTTTAATTTCGGTTAAATAAATATTTTACCTGCAAAGATGGCACCATTTAGGCTTCCGTGGGTAACGCAGTTATGTTATGTGCAATGACGACAGGTTCCCAAAGCTT